GCTATGTAGCAAAATTACCATTTTCAGCCAACTGTAAGTCAAGAATGCTGAGGATTTCTGTCAAGATTACCAGGTATTACTATTTTTGGAAGGAAATGCAGAGATGTACTGCATACTTGACAGGACATACTCTTTAACCATCATACCAGATGGCAACTTGGTATTGCATGAAACGTGTACATACTTTGGTATGTACATGAAACTTTAGAAGCAGCTGAGAATATAAAAAGTAAAAATACATAGGTGTAAAATCCTGTAGGTTCACTTCATGCAACAACCAGTTAGTGCGTCTGAAGAACAATATCTGCTACACCTTCTGGAAAGTTGCTGACAAATTAAGTACACCCCTATTGCTAAGGATCAAACAGGAGAGCATATTACCAGTGGTGACCAGCAGAGAAAATAACTGCTACTATTCCCAAGGTAATGGTAAGGCGGGCTAGACACCTAATAACAGTACTGCTTGGAGTGAATTTTTGAACAGGCTCCAGGTTAGTCTGAAGCCATATAGATTTTAAAATCATATGCCATCCTTTATCAAAGCGCTACTATTAAAGCTAAACTCCAGGCAAACAGCTAAATGCACAGATAAACTGTCAGCCCTCGTTCACACCTAGGCGTATTGTAATATGCGCGTCTGTCGCGCGACCGTCGCGCGTTTTTTTACTGCGATTCGCGATAAAAAAGTTTGCGCGACCGTCGTGCGATTCCGAAGGCTACTTGGCTGTATGCCAATGGAAAACGCCCTACAAAACGGCCCAAAGTAGTACCTGGACCTTTTCAGGCGTGGGCCGTTTTGTAGGGCGTTAGGGACGGGCGGAAATAAGGCAAGGTGGGAACGAGACCCTTGACTACAATGCAATTTATATTTTTGACCGTTTTGTAGAGCGTTCGTCGAGTGTAGAACGCGCTACAAAACGGTCAGGTGTGAACGAGGGCTTACCTTCTGAAGGATTTTGTTTATATTTACTCAGCTTTTTCACCGAACACGTCCATGTCTGGAAGGGTAGAAGACCTAATTTTTCTGTGCTGCAGTTGAGTAACACCACCACCCCGTGACTAGACAGCGAAAAGAGAAACAGAAGACTGATGAGCTCATTTCTCTGTCACTCTGCTTTCGCTTCCTATCAGCATGTTCCCTGCACTGCAGCACAACACTTTCTTTTTGTAGCATCTCCCTCAGTGTAATTGAAGCATGTGCACATGAATACAGAGCTGCATTAATTTGTGTCTTGTACCTGAAAGCAGTGGCTTTGTATTTGGTCACAGTTTACGTGCATTTTAACATTTATAATATGTAAGATGAAAATGATCATCAATCATGAGTTTTTTGTAGTATAAAATCTATCCTGTGCATACTGTCGTGTTTACCATATTGTTAGTTGTTTGCCATATAAAGTATGTGTATTGTTTTACCTATATTATTATAGCTCTAGCTTTATATCATTACAACATCGGCTTATAGACACTATCCAGACAGCAGGATTCTCCCCTGCATTGTGCTGATGAAATAAGAAAGTGTCAGAGACTTAGCATTAATCTTTAATGTGTTCACTGCAGACTGTGCTTCAGGGGACAGCATTAGGCAAGCCACACATTTCCAGCAAAGTTGCAGAAGCCTTTCACCCAACTTTTTACTCAGCTCTCCATGGAATAAAACAGGTCAGTTGTGAATATTAAATTAACATCTTGGCCACTCTCCAAAGTGATTTGGCCTAGTTAGGATTCATCCATGAAAGCTTTGCTGTTTTATGTCCTGATAATGTAGCAAGGCACAGAGGACTGGACAAAATAGATGCTTTTAAGGCTGCAGACTTACAGACACTGTATGTGTATTTTGCTTCTTTTTTTTGCTCATCCCCAACATAAATAATTATCCGGTTTCCTTGTCAACATTTTTAACTTAGTGGTCTGAATTTTTAAACTAAAAAAAAGAGGAGCACCATTAAGCAATTAATAGAGTCCTGTGTAATAATTTATTTAAAAGGATCAATGTGCCAATGTGTTTCGGGGATCCACAAAGCCCCCCTTCATCAGGGCTTCATCAATAGTAACTTAGTTCCTTTCAGGGGTGTTTGGACTCAAAGAAAATAAATAGCGATAGTTCACAGTTTATGTATTTAATTGAAGTGTCTACAGATGAGATTCATCCCACATTTGTTTTCCTTTGACTGCACTCAAGACCTCCTCTTTCTGCCCAGGAGGCCCTTGTTTGTGTGGGAGCAGCCTTATTAAGAACGTTTCAACACCTTAAAGAACAGAATCATTCACAAAGTGCGGCATTCCAAAAACAATAAGTAACTAGCGCCTCTTTTTTTACACATCCATGAATTCTTAAACTATTTACTTTGGAAAGTAAGCATTAACAGTTGGCATTGTAAATTTGGCATTACGATTGAAGCGTGTCTCTTCCTTCCTGCACAGATGGAATGTTCCTCAGTGTCCTCTTGTCTATTTTGCTTACTTATTTTAAGAAGAGCTCTGGGAAAAAAATATTAGTGCAGGGGTAGCCACACTGTAAGGGTTAATTACTAATTTTTTGTCTAGCTGCTAAAAAAAGTTACTCACCGAACTGGCCAGCCGACTTCCTGCTTCTCCAGTCACTGAAGCGTGTCTCTTCCGTTGCTGCACAGATGGAATGTTCCTCAGTGTCCTCTTGAGTACCAATAATTTTTTCCGGTTCTTGTCGATACCAAATACCGAGACTGGCATCCATGGGCCGCCGCCCGGCTTCCTGATTATGTGGGAAGCCAGTGTTCTATTGGAAGAACACCTGCTTCACTCCCCCTCATGTCCTGGCTTCCTGACCAATCATCGGAGCATATACAAGCTATTCATTTGAATGCCACCGCAAACGTACCTCCCGACCATAGTTCAATTGTCCGCATCGGAACATGCGGTACCGCAATTCTGTGTGTTTTAGACTTAATGACCAAGGATAAATGTGGGTCCTGAGGGTACACAGGTTAAGAACCACTAGATTAGAGTATACAACAGGACAGTTTCTAGATTTCCTTTATGTAAACCATTCCACTCTGCACTGACTCCAGCAGCAATCTAATCTCTGCTCTTATTGGAGTATTCAGAGGAAACACCTCCCTTGCTTCATCAGAAATTGTTACCTGTACTGTGGTGACACAAACACTGATCACTTCGTTGTCCACTACATTTTGGGGTCTCTCACTGTCACTTCTGCAAGGCTTCCTTAAAGCTGAACTCCAGGACTAAAAAAAATACCCTTGCAGTAGGGCCCCCCTCACTGCAGGGGTCAATCTTTGTTATGTCTAGGGGTAGAGGAATAAGCTGTAATATTTACCTTATTCCTTGCTCCAGCAGGCTTTCGGCACTTACGTCTTTTCTCTGAAGCTTGGGGTTATGGGTGGGTTATCGCCATTCTCATATAATGTTCATGCATTGTACATGATGACTTCATAGTGCGACTGCCAGCTGTAGAACCTTAGAGAAGCAGTTTCAGGGGAACATGTACACAGTGTAGATGAAGCCTGCCAGAGTGGCTTATTCCTCTTCCCCTAACAAGCATTTAACGCTTGCAGTGTGGGGAGGCCCCAATGTAAGGCTATTTTTTCTGGAGCCCAGAGTGGGGCTTTAAGTGCCACCAGAGCACATACCGAGCTCCGGAAGATTTGTATCTTTAACAAATGTTTGAACAAATGGGCCACAAGGCTCAGCACTCTTTTATCAACAATGCCTGCTGATGTGCTTTTCTGTTCATTTCTCTAACATGGTTGCCAAGGTTCATAACTTCCCAATACTTTTAAGTCACCTCTATGGCTTCTCTTTTTTCATGCAAATTACAATCAGCCTGATTGAAAGTAACCCAGCTACCTTTAATATTCCTGTATGAGTGCTGCTATTACATTGTTCTCAAAATAAAATAACATTGACAATAAAAGAATACACAGGCTACAAGCTTTCTGTGGAGTTTTGTTGGGGTAAAAATATATATATTTTTTTTAACAATTCAGTCAAATGTAGCAGTTGAGAATGCCAACCCACACAGAAACAGCAAGGACACATTTATGCCCGTGTACTTAACGATACAGTCTCCATCTACATGTTTCTGTAGGCTGCAGTTCAGCAAAATGTAGACTTACAAAAGGTGCATATTCAGTGTATCCATGAAAAGTTGATGCTCATGCAAATAGATAGAAATATGCATATGTTTTTGAAAGTCAATGGGCCCTAATTAAACTCTATAACATGTTTGTTAAAAGTTATATATATATATATCTATATATATATATCTCTCTCTATATATATATATAGAGAGAGAGAGATAGATATATATATATAAAACTTTGTTTGCTCTATATAAATAATATAATATTTTTTATTATAGTAGTTGATTGTATGGTATTAATGACCAATAATATTTTGTTTGTCACAATATATATTATTTTTAGTGTCTAGTGTAGATACCACCTGCTTGCAATTCTCTGATTAGTCAGTAATTTGACTTCTTTGTAAAGCTGGCCATACACCTATAGATTATCTGCAGATTTTCTATGGTCAGATGGAAAAAGCACAAAAGATTCCTCCATCTATGCTAACTGTGTGGATGGAGGAATCTCCCACTGGGCCAAGCTTCAGTATCTTGCTAGTCGGCCCTGCTGGCTCTCAAAATACCTGAACAATGTCTGTATCTAATCAGATTTTTCAGGTATTTTGACAGCCAGCAGGGACGACTAGCAAGATACCCAGTGAGAGATTCCTACATCCCCACAGTTTAGCATAGGTGGAGGAATCTGTTGCACTTTTTCCATCTGACCATCGAAAATCTGCAGATAATCTATAGTGGTATGGCCAGCTTTAGACTGCATTCCCTATTGCCTTGACATGACTATTACCATCTTGTTTGGCGTTCAGGCTGTACATAGTAGTGAACTTTCTACAGTACCTTCTCAATGCGAAAAAAAAGATTATGGCAAATGATAGTCAAATTCCACTATTGAACCTTTTTGGCATTTGGAATTTACTAGAAGGAGTTTGCATGTTCTCCCTGTGCCTGTGTGGGTATCCTCCGCGTACTCCGGTTTTCTCCAACACTCCAAAGACATACTGGTGGGTTAACTGGCTTCTGTCTAAATTGTAGCTGTGTACAATAATTTGAGTATACAGCTTATGGTAGTTTGCAAATCTGCAGTGAGCAATGCACAATATATAAAGCTTGAAATGTGCTTCATGGTTATTACATTAAATCATAATATGTAGCTGTGGGCTTCATTTATTAAAGTACATGAAATGAGAATTGTTTGTTTTGCCTTGGAGCATCATACAATTTGTATTCATTTACACTATGGACAATGACAATTGGAGAATGACATTTTGGATTTGACTGGAAGCCGCAGGACATTGTAGAGAATTGGGATATATTATTATAGTTGTGAACTTAAACATAATTAGAATAAATGAAACATGTTCCATCAGAATGCAAGCACGAAGAGACAGTGCTGCTTTGTTGGCGATCATCTCCTGCTTTGTAACTGAATTGTTGGCAGTATGCTACACACACAATTTCTCCAGTGTAGTTAATTAATGGCACAAAGTATGTAGTGTAATAACTATGTATGTGTCATTTCCCATAGTGATGCATTCCTTTTGCAAACTACAATGTAAAACCAGCCCTAATCCCTTTTGACAGCAGAAGAATCACCCAAGTACAGTAGTGAGTTAACAGCCCTGAGTGATTGAGTGTAAAAGCTCTGGGATTACTGCTCACTGTTCTGATTTGCCATTCTACTGGACTGTGAAGAGATTAGAAGGACCAAATTCTTGGGCTGAACCATCTGGATGTCTGGCAGGGGAGTCACTGGGGTTAGCAGATGTTTGGACTTGAGCATACCATGACTATCCCAGCAGGTAATGCCGACTGACCCCTTTCTGTACATAAAACAGGTCAGCCTGTATATACATTTACAAAGAATCCCTCTGCACAGTGCAAATGATGGATAAGAGAAGAGAAGCCTCTTGGGCATTGGAATGCTTTCTAAAAAAGCAGAGCTGAAATCACCATGGTTCTAGGATGCTGTTTTCTTCGGAACGGAGGTATTTGGCTTAAATTATGTTCGTTTTTTTTTCAGATATTTACTTTGTGAAGCTGTTCAAAACCCTCCAAAGAGTTAGATGGCAATCTGGATGCTGATGAACAGTTTGCACAACAAGAATACATATCGCGTAATGTAAAAGGGGGTTTTGCTGGCACATCTGCACACATACGCATAAATATGCAGAGTTGGGGAATATGAGATGCTGACAATCTGATGTATTAAAGATGGAAATGAAGAGACAAGTAGGGCAAACTCTCCAGGATAAATTCATGTTGCGCACAGAGTGTTGATTATGGGTCAGATAAGAAGCAGTATGTTATTTATGGCGGCTTTGCTAGTTATAGAGCAGCGAGTAGACTTAAGCAGGGAATAGCTGAATTCTAATTATCCCACAAATCAGATATTTCTTTCTTTGTGTGCTGTTTTCAGTGGATCTCTGTGGGACATAAAAAGGTTCACGACTTACTTTTTTATGTAAATTAGTAAATACTGGATACATTTTACTCTAAACTGTTGCGATCGAGATGTGTTGCTACTAAAAAGGGCATTGCTATACTTATGTAAGTGACAGCTGAAAGTGTGCCATTTAAGTACTGAGAGAAAGAACCCTATACACTTTACACAAAATCAAAAAGGAGCTCATTTGTACATTATGAGCAAATGAAAATGGAGCTGTGACCCACAGCCCCCAATGGGGTTTAGGTTAACATTTTGTAGGATGCATAAAAAAAAAATCAAGGAATCTAATTTCTATGGATATAATCTCAATGTTTTTTGAATCCAGTTTTAATTAATTAACTCCTATATATCCTATAGCTATATTTCTGTTGCCTAGTAATGGTTATGTTTGGCCACTTACTGGTACACATTCATTTTTGGCTATATTTTTAGCACTTGTAGCACCTGCACAAGTATTTGTAACCACAGAAGCTAAAACCCCCAAGGGAGCATGTAGCTAATCGTGCATGCTCATATGCATTGTGTTTTCCTATGAACCGGCACTAACACTTTGGTCATTACCTGGGTTATGTGTAAGCTCTCATTCTCTTCTACTGCGGAGGGGAGGGACAGTGCATAAACTTTCTTTGCATGTTTGAAGTACGGGTGCAGAGATCTCCACCAATCACTGCATTAAGGCATGGAGTGCGGCTTGGCGGGAAGGGCTGCGGCTTAGCAAGGAAGATAATCCAGGACTTTATGATATATGAAATCCCTTTTATGCTGGGAAGACTGGTTTTACTAGGACAGCCAGAAACTGCCATAGTGGAATTGTGCAGTGCACTCAATAACTCAATATCTCCCAAATTACTCTCATTTGGAGGGACAGACCCTCTTTTGAAACCAAATCTCTCTGTCCTTCTTTTCTCTCCAGTTGTCCCTATTTTTGGTGTAATGTACAGACATGTATTAAAAAAATACAATTTAAATAAAAAGAGTGTTACACTATCCTAAATATTTTATACAGCCTCTAAATGTTTGCATTTGTTACTTTGAAAAGTCAGTATAAAGGAAAGGTAGACGTAAAAAAAAAAAGGCTGTTAGATAGTGGATAGATCCATTTTTTTCTTACATAATAATTTATCATCCACATAACTAGGGATGTGGTAGGGGTGTGGCCTTTGCCTATGTACTTTGGGCTTAAAGGTGTCTCCCTTTGACATGGCAGAATGTTGGACGGTATGGTACTCCCATGAATAAGGTGTCAGAAAGCCCTTTATTCATGTGCAGCATATTCAGCAGTCAGGAGTAGTAACAGGCAGGGTAAGAAGACCCAGCTTATTTATACATGAATCTGTATATGACCTTATCTTGGCTTTTTTACTGTATGATGTAAATCCTTGGTTCTCAACTGGTGGGTCGTGACCCAAAAGTGGGTCGCGACCCCGTTTTCAGTGGGTCGCCGCCTGCCCTTCACTTTTCTATGTGAGAGGCTCCTCAGCCTCCCCCTAGCATAGCAATATCAGTTCTTGCACTGAGCAGCCATTCAGAATATGCTGCCTGGCGCCAAGTGTCAACTTGAGGTTGGGTGGGCTGGAGCAATGGCCGCAAGGGAGCTTCATCCATACATGAATTGCTTACAGCTCCCTCACGTGACCTGTAGAGGTGCCTGGATCGGAGTGACGTCACATTCTGGCTCCTAGCACCTCTACAGGGCGCAAGGCAGTTGTACAAGCAATGTATGTATGGATGGAGCTCTGTCACAGCACAGCAGTCCAGCACTGGACCCCAAGCTGAGGATCGCATGGATAGCTCACACCGGAACCCATGGTACTGCAATGCCGTGCTTTCCATTGCACTGCGACTTGGGTCGTCACTTAATGTCAAAAGGGCAAATGTGGGTCCTGAGGTTACATAGGTTGAAAACCACTGATGTAAATGATCATTTTTGGATAAACTTGATTGACTGTGTGAAATGTCACAGGAGATTTTAAAAGAAGAATATCTTTCATATTTTTATGATGATTACGTTTCCGTCTGTGTGCTGTTGTTGGCTATGTATAGTTTGTTGTAGTATACTAGTGGATTACATTATAACTTACATTGAAAAGAATAATACAATTCTTTAAATGTCAAGGGGATGTGTTTTGATGTTTGGGTTGATAAGCAATATGCGTTTTCCTGGCTGTGTTACTTGAAGCAGTATTGTTTCAGCGTATTATGCAAGCCTTGCTAAAACTAACAAAATAATTTTTCATCTATGAATTACTTAGCCCAGATGTAGATATCATTTGACATGCAGAACTGTAAGTCTCAATGTTCCACCAGCCTTTTTGCTGGAACTGTTAGCCACCGTGGAAGTATTACTTCCTCGTGGGGCAATAGATAATACATTTACATTGATTGTGTTTAAATGATCCAACCGTAAAGCATTTTATTTTTTAACTGACTCAGACTTAGATATGCACACTCATATTATGGCATGGTTTCTGCTTATAAGACATCCTAGGGCCACTTTTTCTGCCATATTAAAGCAGAAGTAATCCACGCAACATACATTTTCCCCTATCTTTTTTTCTACCTTGGATGTGTTCCTGCTGCAGTTTTAGGTTACCCATAGACTTAATCAAGTACTGCCAGTATTAGGAGGATCTATAGTCTTCTGCTATCTTAGCCATTTATTATTATCATATACTAATTCAGTAAAATAAGTGCTGCCCAATATGTTTTGCCCATTATTGGGCACTGGAAATTATTCAGATATACTAGCAAAGTATCTATGGAGTTTTTTTTTTTAATGTTGGCTAGCTTCTGTGCACTCGATTAGGCCATTCATATATATCCGAGCTCACAGAACACAATTATTACCTGCAGCATCACTGCAGGTGAAATCTGACATTGCAGATGCCAGATAAATAGGGGGATTTATGAGACTTATATGAAGCTTTTTTGATACCGACATTATATATTTCCAAAAGCTTTCCTTTACATTTTACATTGTTTTTAGCTTTAGGATTATACATTAAGGCAGTGGTTCTCAACCTATGTAACCTCAGGACCCACATTTGCCCTTTTGACATTAAGTGACGACCCAAGTCGCAGTGCAATGGAAAGCACGGCATTGCAGTACCATGGGTTCCGGTGTGAGCGATCCATGCGATCCTCAGCTTGGGGTCCAGTGCTGGACTGCTGTGCTGTGACAGAGCTCCATCCATACATACATTGCTTGTACAACTGCCTTGCGCCCTGTAGAGGTGCTAGGAGCCAGAATGTGACGTCACTCCGATCCAGGCACCTCTACAGGTCACGTGAGGGAGCTGTAAGCAATTCATGTATGGATGAAGCTCCCTTGCGGCCATTGCTCCAGCCCACCCAACCTCAAGTTGACACTTGGCGCCAGGCATCATATTCTGAATGGCTGCTCAGTGCAAGAACTGATATTGCTATGCTAGGGGGAGGCTGAGGAGCCTCTCACATAGAAAAGTGAAGGGCAGGCGGCGACCCACTGAAAACGGGGTCGCGACCCACTTTTGGGTCACGACCCACCAGTTGAGAACCAAGGCATTAAGGAAACCTAAAAGCTCCATATTTGTAATGA